TAGCGCTCTCTCTCTCTCTCTCTCTCTCTCTCTCTGAATGGACTGTAAACAATTTTCTCCACTGTATTTTTTATATAAAAATTTGGGGGAAGGAATTTCTGTAGCTAATTTTTAGTCCATGGCTCTTTTATGAGCAGTTTGTTGCCAGTATTCGATACTCAGTCTGTTCTGAGTAGATGCACTTGGTATGTTTCTGTTCCTTGGATAATCCTAATTCTCATGATCAGGTTTCCAGTGCAAATCTGAAATTAGCTTTCAATGACTATTCTACCATATTCCCTTAAAATTCACAGTTCTTGCCAATAAACTCATTTCCAACAAGGTTCACAGAAAGCAAACACCGAGGGGAGTGTGACCACAGTCAAAAAGAATTAGTTTTAAAATTCAAATGAATATTAGCTGCATTTTTGCATAGTATTTGCCTAGCTCTAATATTTAACCACAGAAATTGCTCTAAAGGAACATAAGACGTTACCCTGCCATATTTGCTATCCTTTAACAATTTCATGCTCCTTTCAACACCTGGACAAATAGACTACTTACAATTTCTTGTGACACGATGTAAACTGCGATAAACCTTTAGGAAGGATTATTAACTTCAGAGTGCTTGGGTGATGCAGAGTTCAAGAACATCCCTGGTGCAGTGCAAAAGCAAAGGAGACCTTAGGTCAGGACTGAATAAACCAGATGCCCCAGTAATTTAGAGGTTTGTGGTTGAAATTGGTCAGCATGAATGTCAGCTGGTGTTTTGTAAAACAATTACTATAAACAATGAAAAATATATTAGCAATAGGGCTCTTTGCAAACCAAACCTGGCAAAGAAAGATTTGTACATTGTAAGGCCAAAAGGGACCATCACATCATCTGGTTTGAGCTCCTGTGTAACAGGCCCATGCAAAGGAGCCTTAGCCAAAGTGGCCAGTATGGGATCAAACCTTTGACCTCAGTGTTAGTAGCACTACAGTTCAGGGCTGATGGGGGGAAGGGGGGGTAAAGCCGGTACAAATTACTGGGGCCCGGTGGTCCGGAAAGGGGCCCAGGGCCTGGCTTCCCCGGCTTCGCTGGCCCTGTTTAGCCGGTCCGCCCTTGCTGCGGGGCCCAAACCACTCTTGGCGGCCCTGCTACAGTTTAGCCAAATAAGCTAGCCAGCCCACAACAAAAGGCTTTCTCGAAACCAGAGAAGAGATGAGAGGCCTTTATATAGTCAGTCTAATGCGCTCCCAGCTGACCTTTTTTTTATCAGGTGAGGAGGGTCGGTCTATATTGGGAATTATTCCTTAAGGGTTATATTGAGTTTTTAAATTCAGTCCTGGAGGCTGGGGCAGTGCATAGCTGCACTGTTCCTTCCAACTCTGAGACACAATTCTTTCGCTGCTCCCCACTTGCTCCAAGGATGAAGTGTGCTACTGCCACCTTTAAAAGGGTCCTGCTTCCTTCACCCCTTGCAGTCAGTCAGCACCACTGGCTATCACACTGGGGAAATGGGAAGAAAATCATTTCACCAATTTTCCTGTGGGGGCAGATATTAGTTAGAATGCTGGTGCCAAAGGGAAACTAGAGCTGCAATTTAGGTAGCCCTAATTCAGGGGAATGAAAGGGCTTTATTCCCCACTATTCCCCTGTGTGATTTTGTTAGGCTGGCTAAAGCCTGCCCTAAAAATGAAGCATTATTCCACATAAATGTTCATTCTTGTCCGTCATATTAAACATCACAGGTACTAATAACATATAAAGGAGCCTTTACACACATGAATCATCCTATTGAACTCAGTGGGAGCATTCGTGTGATTAAGGAATTTGGGCATGTGGTAAGGATTTGCAGGTCCAGGCGCTAAGAATGTAGTATACTCCCCACTAGTTTCATAAATGCTTCAAAATTATACAACACAAAATGCATTTCCCCCCAGTCTTATCCATCATCACTATGTCAAGTTGAAGACATCTTTTAATTAAAAAGGTGGGAAGGCTTGATCTCCTATGGCTAATATAGAAGCAGTGATCATTTTTACGGTCATCTGACACAGTGAAACACTCTTCTTTCCTTTTATAGCCATTTGCAGACATTGTGGTTGGAAGAGGGGTGGAGGAGCCAGAGAGAATGTTTATTTTATTTTATTTATTTTGTGGAGAGATCAGTAGGCATTACTAGTACTGAAATTATGTGGCCTTATCTATATGCTTGGACTTTATGAAAGATGATAAGATTTGTAGAGAAAAACCTCAAAGAAGAATATTATTCTTGGTAAGGTTTGGTGTGTATGAGTTAATAAATTATAGTTGTCCTGGCCCTTAGGAATTCTATTCTGTCTAAATTTCAGTTTTGTTTTCCACTTTCCCTCCCTGGTGGAGTTGAACCTGGGAATAGCATCACTCAATGGCTCGTTAGTTTGATAAACTGGCATAAGTGACTATAGCTACAATAGGTACCTCTAGAACAGAAGCATTTATAGGGCTCAGGGGAATTCTGAAAAACACCAGAAAGTCTTTAGGTACTGAATCACAGCCAAGTATTCTGAATCTTTAATTTTTTATTTTTTTTCTGCAAGAATGTCAGCACTAAAATATGGAATATGCTTTTCCCACTTGGTTTCTATTACTTGTAAAGCATTCAAAAGCTTCTAGAATAGAATTATCTCTGTACCATGCTAGTGAGCAAGCAAAACTCCTCCGAGTATTAAAGGAGTCCCTCTGCTGGGGTTGCTTTCCATTTTCGACCCAATAATATCATAAAAATGACTAAATATTAGACTTGAGCTGTGCAATTTTGAATCCATCATATATCTGTTAGTTATCATGTTTATCCCAGCAGTGTTTCACCATGCTGCTTTATTTATACAACACGTGGCTAAATAAATTTCACAAGATAACTAGTTTATTTTCAAAAATGACATATCCATCATCAAAATAACCTGTTAATTATGACAGCCAACCTTCAGTATAAATTGTTTGTTTTAAAGGTTGTTCAGGTTATGATAGCAGCCAGCCAGTATCTAGGAAAAAAAGAGAATTTTAAAATGAAGCACGAAGCAGTAAGAAGAGAAAGAAGGAGTGACAAGCACAACAGAGACGGGCTTGCAAAGATGAAAAGTAAGATGCAGGTGCCTTTTTTTAAAAATCCAGCCACTTTAGATTTCTTTGTTGTGGCTCTGATTCAGCAAAATGCTGAAGCACATACTTAGCTTAAGCATGAATGGGAGTTAGGAATGTATTTAAAGTTAAGCATGCAAGTATGTGTTTTGCTGAATAGAGATATATTTAAGCACATGCTTAAAACTAAGCATGTGCTTAAATGGTTACTGAATCAGGGCCTGACTGTCCCAAATAGCAAGAGGGAAATTAGCATTCAGTGCATCACTAGTGGGACTCTGGGGTTTCCCAAAGCTACAGGCAGTAAATCTAGGCTGCAGAACCTGTTGAAGAAAATATTGTGAGGATCAATTAATTTGAGGTTTTAGGACCCAGTTTAACTCCCACTGAAGTCATTGACCACAAGATGCTGGGTACTCAGCACTTTGGAAAACAGGCCACTCATCGAGGTACCTAAATATGAATTTCAGCATTCCATTTTACAAAACTTGGCCTGTATCCTGTAAATGCAAAATATTTTTCCAAGTTAAGTGAAGGTATAAATGGTTTGATATTAGGCCTAGATCTCCAGAATTGTATGTTTGTGCACTTAAAACCTTAATCAGGTTGTGCATTTACCACAGCTCTGCATACAATTGGTGCATACACAAACAGAAAGCATATGTGCATGCAAATGATGCAGCTGGTCATTTGTTTGTTCAGGTTCACACACACTGTAATTTAACATGTAAATTCCAAAAAGCAAGGCTGACGAACGTTAGTAATAAATCATTGATGTGTGGAAATGAATAAGTATAATCAGAAGCTTACTGGGAAACTGAGTTTAATCCAGGACATTTACCCCTAAAATTTCCTAATCACGGCCCTGCATTTTTTATTTTGTGACTGACAACAAAGCTTGGTTGCTGCACTAAACAGCACAAAACCCTGAAAATTTATCCAGCATAGTTTTTAAACCAACTTTCTGACAATGAATAATTAGATATATTACAAAGAAACAAATTATTTTGTTATATTATTCATTTGCAGTATATTCTCTGTTGTCAATGTGTTGTGTTAGCATGCTGAATAATATTCACACAGAATTATTTTAGGGTTCGTAGAGCAATAAGAGATATCTTCATTTAATCCGATCATTTAATCTGAGAAGCACACTTATATTGAAAATATTGTATAAATAGAGAATGTATTAAATGTCAAACTACCTACCTTGCATTATGAATTGAAATGACATTATTTTAAAACATTTGAAAAAGAATTATCGTAATTATACGTTATCATCATGGAGACAGATTACCTATTCTTTTAACATAATTAATTTGATGCACAATGAATTTATGTTGCTGCATATGTCATTATCCATCAATATAATGATGAATTACTAAGAATTATTTTCTAGAATCTTTGTTATTTTAATTGCCCTGTTTATATTTCTATAAATCCATCCTTCATTTGTCTTTCTCCTACCTCTGAAAATTTTAATTACGAATTACATTTCTTTTCGTCTTCCCACACCCACTGGGCCTGATTCTCATCTCACCTGAACTGGTTTTACCCCACTGTAAATACACTGGGAACAGGGGAATAAATCCTGATTTACATCAGTACCTGCAAGCCTAGAATCAGGCCTTATGCCTTTTTTAATTCCAATAATTTTTACCTTTGTACTTTTTCGTAATATTTCTCTTCTCCTACACCCATTCCTTTAACATTCCTTTAATCTGATTTTTTTTCTCATCCCTGTTAAACCTTTCACACTCTATCTGGTTTGCAAGACAAATACAACAATAAAAGGTACAATATTTTAGGGGTTTGTCTCACTTTTAGTGCTTTATCTATAGTTCATATAAATCAAAAGGTATCTTTTGTTTATTTCAGTGGGTTTTGGATCAGCTCCCTGGTTTTTCTAAGCTGGAAAGCTAGGATAACACTGCCCCAGTGTGATCTCAAATGACGTAAGGATGTCTGGAATTTTTATATAAAGGTAATTGTCTATGCAGTTCTCGTTGTACATAAATCTCTTTCTTCGGGAAACCAGCTAGGCCAGAGGTGGGCAAACTACGGCCGTGGGCCACCCATGGTACCCTTCTGCCCGGCCCCTGAGCTCCTGCCCCGGGAGGCTAACCCCCGGTCCCATCGCTGCTGATCCCCCTCTCCCACAGCCTCAGCTCGCTCTGCTGCTGGCACAATGCTCTGGGCGGCGGATGGCGATCTCTTGGGGCAGCGCAGCCGCCGAGCCTGGCCTCACCCCGTGCTCTGTGCTGTGCGGTGTGTGGCTGGTTGCAGCCGGGCAGCACCGCTGCCTGTCCTGGTGCAGCTGTGCTGCCAGCCACCGGTGCTCCAGGCAGCGCGGTAAGGGGGCAGGGAGTGGGGGGGTTGGATAGAGGGCAGGGGAGTTCGCGGTTGTGGTCAGGGGCGGGGGGATGGATGGGGTTGGGGCGGTCAGGGGACAGGGAGCAGGGGGGATGTATGGGGCAGGGGTCCCGGGGAGGCTGTTAGGAATGTGAGGAGGGGTTGGATGGGGGGCCAAGGGGCAGTTGGGGTGGAGGGTCCGGGGGCGGTCAGGGGACAGGGAGAAGGGGTAGAGAAGGATGTGGCAGGGGCCTCGGGGGGCAGTCAGGAAGGAGGGGGGGTTGGATGGGGTGGCAGGGGGCAGTTAGGAGCAAGGAGTCCAGGGGCGGTCAGGGGACAGAGAGCGGGGGGGGTAGTGGGGCAGGAGTCCCGGGGGGGGGGCAGTCAGAGGGTGAGAAGCGGGGGGGGCAGATAAGGGGTAGGAGCCAGGCCATGTGTGGCTGTTTGGGGAGGCACAGCCTCCCCTAACCGACCCTCCATACAATTTTGGAAACCTGATGCAGCCCTCAGGCCCCTGAGCTAGGCCATGGTTGTCCAATGCAGTGCTCTGAAATGGCTGTTTAGAATTCCCTGGTTAGGGAACTCTTTACACCCATATGTTTTTTAAATTCGTCTTTCATGATTGACATTTGTCTTTTCTGAGCCTAGTTCACTTGCACAGCACTTGGAGAGGGCCTGCAGCAGTGTGGTATTTTCATTTCAGTCAGGTTAAGGGTGAAAAAGATTACGCATGCATACTGATTTATGCCTTATAGGCTGGAAATAGCATCAAGTGTGAGCTCCACAGAGTCTGCTCGGTGGTTCAAGCTCTCAATATAGTATTATACTGTCAAAAGTCAATCCTCATACCGCAAGGTGTTTTATTTATTATTTATGTAGCGTCAAATGTTTGCTAAGGCCTATAAAGACAGATATGAAAACCAGGTCTCTGTCCAAAACAGCTTTCAATTTAAATAAAGCCCTGACCCTGCAAACATTATGCACTTGACAAAAGGTACTTCTGTGAGTCAAGTTATCCATATGCATTAGTGTTTATAGGAATATTTCCGTGCAAACCTTTCATGCAACTGGGTGATTCTTTTGAAAGTTAAATGTTGTTTAGTGTAGTTAAATACAGAAGTTTGCTGAATTGATCTTCAGCGATGCTGTGACTCAGAACTGCTTTGTAACATTCTGTGTGAAGTTCCATAGATTAGTAAAAGAGTGCAGCTGCCCCCCTTTTTCATTTCAGGAGGTGCTGGCAAATGCCTTTCCTCAGATTGCCCTCAGTCCTTTCCTTGCAAGCATAGGGAGCTAAGCAGCTCAGGCTGCTATTGAGATGCTGGACTGGCCCCCAAATGCTTGTTAGTAGAGAAATGGCAGGAATAAGGGGAAATACATTCCTTTATGAGCTGCCAGCTGTAGGAGTGATGTTAGCCTGCATCTAACACTATGTCTACACTATGAGCTAGGGCTGTAGCTCGCATACACAGAGTTGCACTACTTCGATGAGAGCTAGCACGAGTATAAATATAGTAGCGTAGCCACAGTAGCACAAGCCGTGGCAGCACAGCTTAGTGGTGACAAGTATAAACCCGCCTAAACCCCATAAGTAGGTACTCGGCATGGTTTAGCTGTGCCGCTGCTGTGATAGCAGCACTATTGTATAATGTACTTCCTATGAGTTAATGTAAGTCTTCTTTTTAATCATATTCAGCTGACTAAGTAATAGTGATTGTTGGGGAACTGGATGGTCCCAAAGATTGTTAATGGACTGGCTACTGTGCCTTTCACCTCCGTCTAGTGGCGTTGGAACAATTTTTATACTGGGGGTGCTGAAAGTCATTGAACAAAACTGTAAACCCCGTATATGATGGAAACCACTTCAAACCAGGGGGTGCTGCTGCATCCCCAGCACCCCTAGTTCCAGCGCCTCTGTCTCATTGGTTCAACTCCAGTCTTCACTGGTATCAATTAAAAGTTGTTACCCAAGTGTCTCCAGACACCCAGTCCAAAAGAGAAGGCACATTAGTGAGTACATTTTCAATTCTGTTGCCTATGCTGTAGCTGTTGTGTGGAAAAAGAAAGGACTTCAGTCTTCCTGGGTGTCATTCTAGCCCCTTCCATAGTTAATAAATTCAGTGAAAACAAACAAAAACCCAAAACAAATAATGTCTGAGATCTATACTATCTTTTTCTAATTGCGACAGGCTGATGTTTTGATGGAAGGCAAAACAGAGTGAAAACTGATTAAAACAAATTATTCTACACTCCAACATGGTGACAGGTTTCAGAGTGGTAGCCATGTCTGTATCAGCAAAAAGAACGAGGAGTACTTGGAGCCTAACACATTTATTTTGGGCATAAGCTTTTGTGGCCTAAAACCCACTTCATCGGATGCAATGAAGTGGGTTTTAGCCCACGAAAGCTTACGCCCAAATTAAATTTGTTAGTCTCTAAAGTGCCACAAGTACTCCTCGTTCTTTCTACACTCCAAGGTACAACTGCAGCTGAAATGAAGTATACTACTATTGCAGAAAAAAATAATTTGGTTATATCTACCTTGGATAAAAGTAAATATTAATTTACTATTGCAAAAAATAGTAAAAAGGATGAGAGGTGATGTTTCAAAGATGAAGCCTTCTCTAAACTGTGGAAAAATAGATTAAGACTGATTGTTGTAAATATCTTAACCATGATATATTTTGGACACACTCCAAAGAAAGCATCATTAGCACTTATCATATTTTCTACTTCTAGGTTATGTTTTCATAAACTCATTTTATAGGCAATAACTATATATTTATGCTGACACAATAGAAGGTGTGTTTCCAGAGTTTTAATGGAAATCCTGTAAGTCTAGTCTAGTGTGATTTGAGGATCCCAAATGCATTTCTAAAACCATATTGATGTTCAGGTTATCATAACCACTGTGGCTTAATTCAAATTTGGGGATTATTTTAAATAATTTTATGGTATTATTTAGACGTCATATCTAGAACTGGGATTAAAATTTACCTGTAATCTCAAACAGGGATATATGTAGTGTTTTCAATCATCTTCTTCCTAAACCTACCATGTGTTATTCAACACATTTATTCAGCGGGCTCTGCTCTGGAGACCAGAACTAGGATTTTCCCCTCCTGCATCCTAGTCAGTCCTATGTCTGCAGCATATTGTTTTGACAAAATAAATCGAGAGAGATCATGTGGATGCCACTTTCCCAGGGTAGTAGAACTCCAATTGTAACATGAACTGTAATCTGGAACTATGTGCATGTGGTTAGAGTATACACTAAACTGCCAGCATTTATAATTGACTACACACAAAGGACTAGGCGAAAAGAATATTCCGGGTGCAAAGTCAAGCACTCAAAAGTGAGGCAATGTCAGAATTAAATTTGCCTGTTCAACCTTAATTCACCCCCTTTGTGGAGCTGCATTGGGATCTAGTCTTTAATTACATAATCACATAATACTTTTCCAATCTGCTCCCTCGGTGGCCTTCTCCCACTCCGACCTGGTCCAGCTCTTTGTCCCCTCTGCATTTGAGGGAAGCTGCTTCTATTCCACTTCAGAACTAGCAGAGGAATCACTGAGAGCACAGCAGATAGACTATTCCACCTCTTACAGTTGATACCTAGTACATAGTAGCCTGGGAGTAGTGATTGTAGGGAAAGTCCTGCTCAGCTAGGTCTGCGTCCAGGAATCTACCTGTGGGGTGGCTACACAGGAATGCAAATGAAGAGGGAGTCCGGTGGCTGTTTAAAGACTAACAGATTCATTTGGGCATAAGCTTTCGTGGGTAAAAAACTCCATGCATTTGAGGAAGTAGGTTTTTTACGCACGAAAGCTTATGCCACTAGACTCCTCCTCGTTGTTTTTGTGGATACAGACTTACAGGGCTACCCCTCTGTCACTTGGAGGCACTTAATTTGCCTTGTTGGGCTTGTATCTACCCAAGCTGTACGAGCCGTGCGGGGTGCGCCCTGTGTGGGATGGGTAAACATGAGCACCCTCTTGTGCAGAGCTGGGGAGAGACAGGCTACAGCACCAGCCCAGCATGCTGCGTGGAGCTGCATGGAGAATAACCAGCAAGCGGCAGCCTGCAGAGACACACACAGCAGCAGGCAGCGCACTAGGTATAGATTATAAACGGCACTAGCAGCAGCCTGCACCGAGTGTCTATAGACTCACCAGCCGGGCGGCTGCCTGGCGCTGTACAGAGACCTGGCGGCGGCCTGGGCCCAGTGTAGAGAGACTCTAAACAGGCACCTGCCTAGAGCTGCACAGGGAGGCGAGGCGCAGCAGCCGCCCCGGTCCCCTGTGTCCCCATGTGCCGTCCCAGAACGAGCAGGTGGGTTCCGGGGCCCGGGAGGGCAGCGGCCTCCGCTGCTGTCACTGAGCATGCTCACAGCGCGCGGGCACGCTCGGCTTGGGCTTGGGCTTCTCCACGTCCGTCCCTGCCCGGGGCGGGGGGGTCCCCGCCGCCAGTGAGCCCCTTGCCGGTGGCCGAGCTCCCGGGCCAGGCCGTGCAGCGCGCCATGAACCCGGGCGGCGGGAGGGCGCCGGGCTTCCCGGGCCCCGTGCCGTGTAAGTGCCGAGCGGGCTATGCGCGCTCCGGGGCCCGGGCAGGCCCCGAAACCTGAGTAGCGCAAGAAGCGGGCGGGAGCCAAGCCCGGGAACGTGGCTCGGGGGAACCCGAGTGAGAGCAGCCAGGGGGCTGGGCGGCCTGCCCCGGCGCGCAGCGAGGCTCCCCGGGCGGCCCCGCTTCGGAGTTCCCCAGGGGGCCCGGGGCCTGGGCGAGCAGCAGGTGCCGGGGCGCAGCGAGGGGTCGCTCCGCGGAGAGCGGGGGAGGCGGCCGGAGCCATCAGCCGCCCCGGTCCCGTCGCTCACCGGGGAGGGCGGACCGCAGCGGGTCCCGGGCTCCGACACCCCGCCTAGGAGAAGCCCCTTCATCCCGGCCGCAGGCGATAGGCGCTGCCCGGCGGAGATCGACTCTGGCCTGCCGCCTCCCCTCCCCAGCCCTCCTCCGGAGACGAGATCGGTGGTCAGGGAGAAAGAGGGATCCGGGAGTGAAGGGCGGGGACTGTTCTAGCCCCCCACTGGGGGGCATTGGGTGGGAGCAGGGGCGGCAGAAGTAGGGCAGAGGGATAGGTTAGAGGTGTGGGGGCAGTCAGGGCTGCCTGTTAAGGAGTAGTAACTGTAAGAAGGGCAGCTAGGAGGAGTTTGGGAGAAGGCAGATGGGACATGTCGGAGAGTTAGGGATAGGGGAGGCACTGAGGCAGGGGAAGATTAGAGATAGTGGGTGCACTCCATGCTGCCTCCAGGACTATCCATGTTCATTAAGGACCCCCTCCCCCCCACCACACACACTCCCCCCCCCGCCCCATACTTGGAGCACATTTTCTGGGAAAGCTCCCCGGGTGCATAGGGCAAGCTCCCTGGGCCTAATGCAAGGAGCAGTGGTATAGATCCTTCGGTCCAGTGCACAATGGCATTGTGCAAGCCGCCTGGCTGTGAGAGTGTTACTGCGCAGCATGCAAAGATGCAAGTTACCAGACTGCAACTGTCATGCAAGCCCCTGTGGCCTAGTGTGTAACATGGAAAAAGAATGTAGCCTTATCAGCAACCTACGGTTCAGCATTGCAGGCATGCAGGCTTCACGAATCACGTTTCCCAGGAACCTTAGTGTAACTTTTTTTTTAGGTTGGCGATGATCGAGTGGCTTTGCACTTCAGGCTGCTCAGCACAATCAACTCCTACTGAAGTCAGTGCCCAGAAGCTTCATATACCACTAAATATGTTTAGTTCTTCAGTGGTTGTAACACCCATGTGCTGTCATCTGTTGAATGCTATGCTAAGAAGAGGACAGTATTTATAGAGTTCAGCATTTTGGTTTCACAGGTCCTATTATAGCTCTCCCAGTAGTAGTTGAAACGGAAACGTTGCAGTTATTCAATGAGAAACTGAATGCATGATATAATAATCGAGGACCTAATCCATATGATAATTGATAATCTTGTTGGAGTCTCTCTTCGCTTTTGTGTAGGAATGTTTTGATTTCATCAGTGTAAATTATTTGATCTCCTTCCATTTTTGTAGTTCCAGGAGGCACCACTGTCCTAGTGGAGCTCACCCCAGATATTCACATTTGTGGCATTTGCAAGCAGCAGTTCAATAACCTAGATGCCTTCGTTGCTCACAAGCAAAGCGGCTGTCAGCTGATCAGTGCAAATGGAACCACTAGTACAGTCCAGTTTGTCTCAGAAGAAACTGTGCCATCAACACAGACTCAAACCACAACCAGAACAATCACTTCAGAGACTCAGACCATCACAGGTATTGCTTAGGAATTTGAAAGCAGACATCCTATAAGAAAATAGAAATGTAAATCCATGTACCCCATCACATTAAGTTAAAATACCAGTTTGCACACAAGTATTCACATATGATTTGGTGAAGGAAGAAGAAGCAAACTGACTATTTGGTTAGCTTTGGTATAGCGCTATGCACTTAATTTGACTATTAAAACTATTAATCCATTTATAATATCTTAAGCCTGATGTGACGTGCAGCCAGCACTTAATGAAAGGGCATTTTTAGTGGTGCCCTTGGGTAACAAACACAGGCTTAGAATTTTTGTTGATCATCAGTCCAGGTCCTCCTCGTAAGAGAACACTGCATCTGGAACAACTGCTTCCACAATTAATTAGCTAGAAATATCGTGATACTCAGTATTCCTACCTCTGCAAAGGTTTAAGTCAGGCTGAAGCATATGCAGACCTTTACTTGCATAAAGTTACATGCGTGCATGTTTTCAGGCTCAGGGCCTCATTTACTTTGAACTAATTTGAACAGACACATAAATTTTCAGAGAGATTTGCAGAAATGTTTTGGGATAAAGAATCTGATATACAAAAGCCTTAAAACAAGTGAAAAATTGGATAGTCAAGTGGACTGATTTCAGGGCTGGCTGCCAGGAATTTTTGAGTTCAAATCCCTGCCCATGATTCACTGGATTTTGGATGAATTGCTTAAATTATCTGCCTCTTATTTACTCACCTGTAAAATGAGGGCAATAATACCAACCTATTTGATATTAGGACAGGGGTGAGATTTAATCAACTTAAAAGCCATTAATTAGTCCGCATTAAAATGTTTTTTCTTACTATGTTTACAGTTGATAACTTAAAATTCCTGTAACTGAAAGAGATTAGATATTTAAAAAAAAACAACTATTTTTTTCAGTTTGTTTACTTCATACTTTTGACAGCATTTTGTATAAAGCCAGTTTTGCTGTTTCCCCTGAATACTGATTTAGGGCTCTGATCCTGCTAACATTTAACAACATACATAACTGTACTCCTATAAGTAACCCCCCCGCACAAACAGCAGAAGAAACTGACTTAGCCCTGAGTCCTGCAGTTGGATCCACACCATCACATCCTTGTGCTTGTGCAAAATCCCACGGGCTTCAGTGCAACTTTGTACTGGTGCAAAGGACTAGCCATGCATATCCTAGTTTCAGGATAGGGGCCTTTGTCTTTTTTTTTTTTTTTTTTTTTCTTACTTGGGGCTTTCACTTGTAATAGATAGAGAAAAACATTTTATAAAAGAATAGGCAAATGTGATTGTAAAACTAGAACTAGGTACGGGTGATGCTTAATGGAATTTGATACAGATTGAAGCTGTTTATACTAAGAAAGTGGGCCATTTTATGTTTTTAGTTTCTGCTCCAGAGTTTGTTTTTGAGCATGGCTACCAAACATATCTGCCCAATGAGAGCCGTGAACCTCAGACTGCCACTGTTGTTGCCCCATCATCAAAAACGCGTTCCAGAAAATCCACTACTGCAGTTGTCCAAAAGAAATTGAACTGCTGCTATCCAGGTTAGGTATTGGCTATGTCTTCTTTTTTCTTTCATTTTGCAATTGGTGTGTTTAGTATAGTTATAAATATGCTAGGTTTGCCTAATTTCATGAAATTAATCTGCACAGAATCCAGAAGACAACATGATATGCTTCTTTAGGCCTGATCCTACACAATTAAAGTCAGTGGGAGTTTTGCCATTGACTTCAGTGAGAGTAGAATCAAGCCCTCAGACTCTGATCTTGCTTTAATGATGTGTGCTGGTTGGGATCAATGGGGCTCTACCTGGCTTCCAGGTGTGCTGACACACATCGCTGTAAAAGTAGGGCCTGATTTGTATCCTCCTAACTGTGTTCCCAATCCTTCAACTCATGTGAAGAATCCTGAAATTTATTTGCACTGTATCCACAGCTCTGATGAACCAAAGCGTTTGCAAGGATGGACTGGTTTTAAATATTGTCAATATTTAAATCATATTAATCGGCAAAGTTACCATATAAATTCCTGCAAAACAGATGCTTAATTCTTTCATATAGGATTCAGTGCTGCAAGGCTTGGGAGTTAAACTTTCCTCACATGGGTAGTCTTGTTTATTTAAATAGAGTTTACAGTATTGTTTCAAATCTTTCCTTTACCTGAGAATCTTATTTCACATGCACAGTTTTAGTTTGCGCGCACACAAACTTTCAGGGCCCTATCCAGTATTCTTGACTCAGGCAAAACTCCTGAGAATGAAGGCCCAAATGTGTTAGCTAGGCACCCACTATCTCTAATCTGAGACTATATGTGAAATTAATTAGTCTCCCTGTGTCCCCTGTGTACTGTAGAGTGCATCTCAAAACCCAGGCAGAGATTCCACACAATTTGTTTTAGAGATTACCACGAGAAATTCCAGAATGAGTTAATGCAGAGAATGAATTATCTTCTAGGGAAGCACTAGAAGACTAAAGTTTATAGGTAAGTATAGCTACTTACTTATTGTAAGTAAGTATATGCAAACAAGATGTGGACTACATTTTCCGGCAGTGTTGACTTCCTTCTCTTTATTTGTATACACACATACACACACAGAGCGTTGATAAATTTGACACAGCAATGTTACAGATATATGCCGAGAAAGGCAACATCCCGAATCTGTCAAAGTACATGTCCCCCGTCCCGTTGTCTTGTTTGTTTTTCTTAAATTTAAAAATCTAATTTTTTGTTTGTGGTATCTAATTTATTTTCAGGTTGCCAATTCAAGACATCATATGGTATGAAAGACGTGGAACGTCATTTAAGAACACACACAGGTAAAATCTAAAACCATCACCTTCTATTTTTCCTTCTTGTTATTGTCAATAGATGTTTTCCCACAAAATAAGCGTCGAGTTTTAGGTGGTACAACCTAAAGAGGCACAATCCCTCCCCTAGCTTCTTGGAATGCAAGAACTGTCTCTTTCACATGCCAAGTC